ATTAAGGGAAGGCTTTGCCTGCTTTGCTAAGGAATTTGAACTTTTAACCTGAAAACAAGTGGGGACTGTTGGAACGTTGCATCTTAGAGATAGGCTCCAGTTGGAACTTTTGGTTCACCGATCCTAAAGCAGGCTGGGAATGTGACATGACGCTCAATGTCTTCCTCCCCACCCTGACCCATGGCAGATTCTTTCTGAGGGGCAGCCGAGTCTACTTCCCGGCTTCTGCTTTCTATCCTGGGGTCCGGGTATGGCATACAGGTCCTGTCCTTTTGCATCGCTCCTGGACTTTGTTTCTTTATCAAATTGGTTTTAGAGTGCTACCCCATTGGATTATCTGCTTAGCTTTGTGTTTTGGTGTGTCTCCTGGAAAGTGTCTTAGATTATCTGCTCCCCCCACCACACCCCATTTATCCTAAACTTCCCACAATCTTTATCCAGGGTGGACTTGTATGCCCCTGATCTGAAAGCAGTCTGGATATTTGCTTTGGTGCATCTTGGCCTGGGGTGGTTCGCTTGTCTGTAGACTGGAGGCAGGAGGACCTACTAGGTGGATGTGAATATAAGTGTGGGTTGAGATGATTATGGCCAGGACTGGGGCTTGTCACGGGCCTGCCAGGTTGCAGGGAGGGAGTGCTGCGTGGGAAAGACACCACGACGTTAGAACCAACAGCACTGTAACTTGCCTATGACTTCATTATGCATCCAGCTTATCTCACTGAACATCTGGTCTCCTGACTCACCATTTGTTTTCACTTGTTCACTGTGGTCAGAAGTCTTGAAAATATTACCTACAATCTGAGTCATCAGGACTAGTGACCTGGGGTGGGTTCTGGAGGGTTGGTGTATTTTATTTTATTTTAATTTTTTAATAAACATATAATGTTTATTAACAGCCCCAGGGGTACAGGTCTGTGAATCGCCAGGTTTACACACTTCACAGCACTCACCATGGCACATACCCTCTCCAATGTCCATAAAGCCCTTATTTTAAGTGCTGATACCTCTTCTACTAAAAACAGGGAGATTTGTTATCCAAACATCAGACCTGTTAACTAAGACCTGGGGCAGAAGGAGGGGACCAGGAGACATTCTCAGACCATCCCAAACAGTGACTATGCATAGAGATTGGGATGTGATTTTGAAAACGAAGTCCATTAGGTAAGGCTGACCTCTAGGCTCCCATGGACCCACCTGACAAGGTGAGCCCTTCCCCGAGCAGGCCCTTCAGACAGGGATGTGGTTCCCAATGTCGCTGCACATTGGAATCCTCCAAGGATTTTTTCAAAACACAGACAGTTGGCCGTCACCCCGACCTTCTGACTTCAGTGGTACGCAACACAGCCTGGGCTCTGGGGTTTTTAAAACATCCCAGGGGAGTCTAATGTGTAGCAAAGTTTGGGAGCCTCTAGAGTAGAGGGGAGTAGGAACGAGCACACTTGAGCCAGCACCAGAATCACCAGGAGGACTCGTTTAAAAACACACATGGCCGGGCCCCACCCGGGAGTGCCATCTAAGAATGTGCATTTCTCTCCAGTTTCCCAGTGATGCTGACAGAGCCACACTCTTCAGAGCCACTGGTGTAAGAGAGCTGGGTCTGGCTTTGCCATTAGGAGCTGTGCGACCCTGAGCACGTCCCCCAGTCTTCAGAAGGACGGTTCCTGCTTTTATAACATGAGGCAGCCATGGTGATTAACTCGTGGGTCTCTGTGTGTGAAGTGAGATGATATTTGCAAGTTGCTGAACCCAGGGCTTGGCCCACAGAACCAGTGCAACCCATTATCGGTGTGTCTCTGTAGGTCCCCTCGTGCCAGGTGGTGAGTGATGTCCATGTGAGCCTCTGCCCCTGTGGGTCCCATTTTCAGGCTTTCTGGAAAAGGAAAACTGTTACTCTCAGGGTCTAGGAGTGCTCTGGGGTGGGGGGGCATCCAGCAGAGTAGGGGCTCACGCTGGGGGCGTAAGCCCATGCTGTTCAGTGATTGTCAGCTGGGCCCTTCAGCCGAAGCTGGGTGGGTACCAGCTGGATGGAGTCCTGCCCTCCTGCCCAAACTCCACATCACTCACTTTCTGGCCCATCTAGTGTGGCGAGTGGTGGTCGTCCTGGCGTCACCATGGAAACCAAACAACTACCAAGGAACGTGAGAACTGGCTCTAAATGGTGTTGGAAACCACGCTGTGTGTCCCCGAGAGAGGCATGGGGGATCGCCACGCCATGTCTTCCCTTTTTCTCGTGCAATTTGCCCGGCGTTCTCTTCTTGTATATTTACTTCCCCTCCCGTTTTGCTCAGGAGGGAACTGAGGCACGGCATGCACATCCCTGCTCATTGTATGTGGACAGGATGCCCATGTCAGCCTGCTACTTTGCAGGCCAAGCCGGCACTGTGTTCATCCCCTTTCTGAATGTCACACTGAGAAGTGGATTTTCCTTCCTTAATGGCTTTACTGGGTCAACTCTCAGGGACTTTTTGATATGTATAAAATTTCTATGTTTTGTTTTTTTAGAGTGGTGTAAATCTGGTAAATCTTTATCACTTCCACATGGTTTGAGGGCAAAGTGCCCTGATTTCCATTTTATAGTTTGGGCCATGCAGAGGATGGGGAGAAGACACGTTCAGGATCGGCCCAGGAGGTGAGAGACTGGCTAGCTCACTCCATTTCCAGTTCTCTTTGGCCAGAGTGAAATTCTGGCCGTGCCCAGGGACTCCCAGGGGTGTCAGCCTGGGTTTTCTTCTGTTCTCCCTGGACTGAGACCTGAATGAGAGAGAGAGTTAGGGAATGACTGTAGAGAGGCCATGGGAAGTGGTTGTGGCCAAGTTATTCCTAGATAAGGGCACGTCCCTCCACCCCTCCAGGGGAGTTATTTTGCCTCACAGAGGATGCTAGTAACAGAACAGAGCCTAGACACCCGCCCCCTGCCTGCCTTCCTCACTGGGGTTCCTTTCCCTGTGCCCTGACATGCGCAGCCATTTACCTATGCCCAAACTACTGGGTATCTGTTACTCTCCTTTGATATTAATTGATGGCTTTGTTATGACCGATGCCACACCCTTCCTGGAGAGGGGGGTAAGATATGGTCCACAAAAACCCTGCCCACATGAGCCACACACATGGCCTATAGGCTCCACATACAGAACAGTCACTGGCGTTGGGCTGACTGCTCTAAGTAGCTGTGTTTCATTTAAGCCTCACAACTCATGGGGGCAGTGATTAGCCTCCCTGTGCCCAGATCAGGAAGTAAAGCGACTCGCCTAGGATGACACAGCAAGCAGCAGGCAAGTGGCAGAGTGAAGGTTTAAAGCTAGGTTTGGTCGATTTCCCAATATTCTTTAGCCATTGTACTACACTGCTGCCTGACTTGCAGGCTCAGGAAGATTCTGTCTCGGAGAGAAAGCAGCAAGCCACACAAAGGAAGACTGCCCCCTGTCCACCCTGAACTTTTGCAGACAGATCTGGTGTTCTGCAAAAATACAGTTGCTCAGAAATTGGCTCCTAGAGCATCACAGAGAAGGCCATCCTCTGACTCACGTTGGTGCAAAAAGTGAAAAAACTTCAATTAAGTGTATTATTTCAAATATGAAGCATTTGGCTATTTGATCTTTTTTTTTTTTTTTCCCCATCATCAATATGACTAACGTGTCACTTGTCTGAAGTTTCCTGTTCACGTGGACCCTGCCTGCCTGCACGCTTCCCTCTTTCTGGGGACCGTGACAGAAAGGAGAGATGGAAGTTTATTTTTAATTTGGCCACTGAACGAACATCAAAATCTTCCCTTCCAGCAGCTGAGCCTCTGTGTTTTCTCACCAGGGTATTAATTACCTGATTCTGGGAACGGCCAGCCGGGCAGTTCCCGTGGCTCCACAGCCCTAGTGGCCACAGCGCCATGGCTCGTGGACGCAGCAGGACTCAGAGGCTTCCGCAGGGAGCCTCCTCCTCCTCAAAAAACTCCAACACAGGTATGGGCTAACTTGTTAAACACATTTATTGATTTCTTGACAGTACCCAAACACAGTGAGTGACCATTATAAACAAGGAAAGAAAGGCATTCGTTTGTATTTTGTGATATCCGGCTGCACCTGGAGAGAAAAGACACCCCCTTCCCAGGAATTTACAAGGCAAAGTGCATTCCTTCAAGGGAGCATCACAGGGGTGGGAGGGGGATGGCAGTTTTGAAACGCAAGATATCTGTCGCCCGCTGTCTCAGGCGGAAGCTCACCTTGTATGAATGATCGAGCCATGGAGTGGAATTAAAAGTTATACTTGCTTAGCAAATGCATTCCTGATTGCCACAAACTCAGTCAAAACTGGCTGCAAATGAACAGAACATGTAGATGAAGGAACAAGTGAAATCAAAGAATGCAGTTGTAATGGAATCAGGGCTTCGCTTGTAAGGAAGGAGAACAGATCAAAGGCGGAAAAATGAAATTAACTCGTTAAACACATTTATTGAGCTGTTAACAATAACCAAACACAATGTATGACCTTTGGAAAACAAGAAACAGTGAATGGATCAATTCTGATCTTGGCAAATCCTATTACAGATATGTGACGAAGAGGGGAAATAATTCCATTTCTTTATAGTCTGCAGTGATATATATACAATGTGTATCTCTTCAAGGTCTGTCCTTTTCTTTTTAATTTTTTGGGGGGAGTAAACAGAAGAATAAGTGTCCTTGGCCAACTTTATCCTGGTTCACCTGTCACCAGAGGTTCCTAGGACACCACCCGAGATAACTTGATGCCAAGAACAAAGTCCGCTTGATGCTGTCAGAGCTATGTTTTCTCCTCTCTCTCTTTTGGAAGAATTTTGTATGTACAAAGGCTGAAAAGTCTCATTGGGTAGATTAATTAGTTCAGGAAAACAGTATCAAAATTGTAATCAGGTTAACTGGTTGTTTTCTTTTAAGACCTCTTTTGAACAAGCCTGTATTTTCTGAAACTTGACTTCCCATCCTGGAGGCCATGTGAGTGTTTCTATGTGTAGATATGTTTGCATATGTGCCCGTGTGTGTGTGTCTCTGAGTGTGTGGAAGAGACGTGTTCCTCTGCCATGGTTTTGCAGATACTTTTCATGAAGAAAGGGCCAATCCAAAGAGTGAATGAGGCTTGAGGGAGAGAGGGAGAGAGAAGAAAGAGGGGGGCATTCTAGGTTACATCAATTCAAAGTTGTAGCATTTCTTCTTGAGATTCTTCTTGGTCTCATTCCCTACTTGAGGAGCCATTCATTTACTGGAAGGAGAGAAAAAGGAAAACACACACACAAACAACACAAAACAAGGCATAGTTGAATTAATGTGCACAAAGTATAGGGGGCTTACTTGCCTAGGATGACACAGCAAGCAGCAGGCAAGTGGCAGAGTGAAGGTTTAAAGCTAGGTTTGGTCAATTTCCCAATATTCTTCAGCCACTGTACTACACCACTGCCTGTCCCAAAGGGGACGGGACAGTTCTGTAAATTCTGTGTATGTGTCCCAACCACCCACTCTGCTTCCTCATAAACCTCTAGGCCCAACCCATCCCATAGGGTTGTTACTGGTCACAGGTGGCTACCATAAATTCAAATTAATTAAAATGAAAACTAAAAATTTAGTTGTGTTGCTTACTAGCCACTCTTCAAATGTCTGACAGCCACATGTGGCTGGTAGCGACCATATACTGAACAATGTAGATATAGAATATTTCCAGAGTTGTAGAAAGTTCCAGTGGATGTCAGTGCTTTAGATGAGGGGACAGATGACAGCCCACAGACCAAATACAGCCTGTGATCTGCTTTTGGGGATTGGCCACACCCAATAATTTTCATATTGTCTATGGTTGCTTTCACTCTACAACATAAAAATGTAGCAGAGACTATATGACTTAAAAGCCCAAAGTGTTTACCAATTGCCCCTTATAGAAAAATTCTGCAACCCCTGCTCTAGACTGTGAGCTCTGCATGGAGGGGGCCCTATCTGTCTTCATCCCCACTATATTCCTATCACTTAGCTAAGTGCCTGGCTAGGCTCATCATAACTACATGTTGAAAAAAGGGAAGGCTCAATGAATGACATCTTTTTCTGGTAGTTCTGGCAGGAAGGGAACAGATGATTATAGTTTTGACACTTTGCATGTGTCTGACAGAGAAAAAAAGAAAGAAGGAGATGCAGGGGAAGCAGGAGAGATAAAGTGGGGGACAAAGGGGCAGCTGCCTGGTAATGTCCATAGCCCCCATATTTGGGTGGCACATTGTTGTTACAAAGGGCTTCCCCATCCAGGCTCTCATTTGCTCCTTGCGAGTCATGAAGTAGACAGTATAGAGATTGTCATGAAAGAAACCAGGTCCAGAGGGGAAATGACTTGGCTGGGTTTACATGGCTTGGTTATGACAGAACCAGGCCAGGAGCTCAGATGTGTGGATTCCTTGTTGAAGGAATTCCATGACTCCGTTCTACTTCCATCTTCCTTTCTATGTTGAGATTTTACCAGAATGATCAAGAGATACTTAGCGTGCGTAGGAAAAGACAGCTGTGTGTGGACAAGAGGGTTACAGGAGGCAGGAGTCATCTTAAATGTCTCCTTTAGTAGGGAAAATTGTCACTTCTAGGGACATAGCACCGGAAGAAGATGTGCTCACACGTGTTACCTCATTGGATCCCAATGGCCCGGCATCCAAAGTATATGCTCCCCTTTTGGGAGAAAGGGAGTGGGAGTCCATTGTGCCCATAGCTAAAAGCTTGAATGCTTCGTGCTGTCCTGTTCTAACAGATAACATTGGAAAATCAGCCTCCCTGGGCCCTTGGGTAAAATGGCAATAAAAATGCTGTCTTACGCTAAGCAAAACAAGTCAGTCACAGAAAGACAAATACCACACGATTTCACTCATATGTGGAATTTAAGTGACAAAACAAACGAGTAAAGGAAAAAAAAAAGAGAGTGAGGCAAACCAAGAAACAGACTAACTACAGAGAACACACGGATGTAAGGGAGGGTGGGTGAACCAGGTGGTGGAGATGAAGGGGTGCACCCATCGTGCTGAGCACCAGGTACTGAGCGGCAGTGCTGTGTCACTATGTTGTACACCTAAAGCAGATATCATGCTGTATGTCAACTAGCTGGAGTTTAAAGAATAACATAAAGAAGAACAAAAAGGAAAAATACCTCCCTGGCTCCCATCCGTTTAGAGTCCTACGGTGCTGAATATACTAGAGGCTTAAGAAGAGGTCTGCAACTTTCTGCAATGTCAGTGTAATGATTTGTAACTATTTATGCAGAAAAATGCATATAACCCTACACCAAATATTCTTTCATGGGAGTACTTTCTTCCTTGTGAAGAATCTGTATCCCAGGCAGCTGTCCTAATCCTAATGGGGGCTTCAATAAAGCTTCCTTCCTCCCTCCCTCCCCCCCCCCCTTTTTTTTTTTTTTTTTTTTTAATGCTGTGGACCGGGAAGGCATTTGAAGGTTTGGCACCCCTCCCCCAGCCCCATCTCTGCCTGTCTGTCTCTATCTCTGCTTATCTCCAATGATACAGAGGTTTCACCAGCAGGAAAGCACCATACAAATGGAAGGTTGGGTGGGGGGGTGGGGGTCTCACTGTCATTTGTGATCGCGATTGTAACAAGAGACGCCCCCTGCCTTCCCCGGCTGGGGCCTGTTGCCCTCTGCGCCAGTGCACCCACCTCTATACTGAAGCTTCTGGGCTCGGTTGTTGGGACAGTCCTTCCCCTGTAAACTGAAGTTGATGTTGGTGCGGATACAGCGGTTGTTGAGTGGCTGCACGGGTCTGAAGTTGTCACTCATGCTCAGAAAGATCTGAGACGGCTGGTTCTGGCTGAGCAGCCGTAAGGAATGCATCTGTGGAGAGAGACACAGCTGAGTCCCACATACCCTCCTAAATGCACTAGGGAGGGAGTGGGACAGTGTGCCCAAGCCAGGCGGTCCTAGCTGCCTGGGACGGGGGACATGTGAGCACCGCAGAGACCCCTGTTTCATGGACTCGGGTTGCTGCGCCTCTGTACATGGAACGAGCCTGGCTTCGACCTCACCAGGTCATGCATGTCTCTGAGCAAGTCCTTTGCTCTCTCTTAAGCTCAAATGCGCCGTCCGTGGAAGCAGAAAATCCATCTAGTTGTTCTCCAGGGTCCCTTTTCCCTCGGACACCTCATGGTTCCAGAACTTCCAATAATTCAGGGAATTCTATTTCCCCCACATGGATGTTATCCACACTGTAGTGGTCGATCCAGGGGTCAGAGCTAAAGGAAGCTGGATCAATGTGGTTCCTTTTCTGGGACTATTGGGCCCAGGCGGCTGTACTAAAGCATTTTCTGCCATGTTCCAGCCCAGGACTGCAAAGCAAAGGAAGACTTTCCTGTCTCTAACAGGAAAGAAGAACAAAGCAAATGTGTAATGAGGAGAGAAAGAGAATGGAGAGGACAGACTTCTCATGACTTCCCGACATTGATTTCTGATCTCAACTTCCATAAGATGTCCCAATATCTCTTGAATACCTCCTTTTTTCTAAGTAAGGATCTGGAGGGGGTCACTTGTCACCAAAAGAATCCCAATAAACACAGATAGGGTTGGAGCCTTCAAATGGTTCAGGTTGTTGGGTTGTGAGTACTGTCCTGTCAAGGAGATTGGATTCTGGGGTGTCCGGGTGGCTCAGTGGGTTAAGCCTCTGCCTTTGGCTCAGGTCATGATCCCGGGGTCCTGGGATCGAGCCCTGCATGGGGCTCTCTGCCCAGCAGGGAACCTGTTCCCACACCACCCCCCCCGCCTGCCTCTCTGCCTACTTGTGATCTCTGTCAAATAAATAAAATAAAATCTTAAAAGAAAAAGAGATTGGATTTTGATTCCTTTGCTCCTCTTCTTTTGAGTTTTATACACGACTGTAGAATGCCGGAACCAGAGTGGGTGTCATAACTCCCTTGGTTATAAAAAGAGAGGCACATTCATTTCACATAAGTGGGGGGTGATGGTTGTGGGAGTGCACAGGGAGCCGGGGGCAAGGCTCGCACCCAGTGCTCAGACCTAGTTCTCAGGTAGCTCAAGGGCATATGAGTCCCGTGAGATGTTCTAAAAATACTTCACATTTCAACAGTTTGTGAAATGCTCAACATCCTCTGACGTTAGAGACTGACATAGGTATGATCAATTTAAAGACCCTGATAAGTTTCCCAGTAAGGAAATCTATTTAACTTTTTAAATTTTATTTTTTTATGTAGGCTCCATACCCAGCATGGAGCCCAACCCCGTACCAGGCTTGAACTCAACGACTGTGAGATCGAGATCTGGGCTGAGATCAAGAGTTGGACGCTTAATTACCTGAGTCACCCTGTTGCCCCTATTTAACTTTTTAAAAATCTCTCTTTTTCAGATATATTTGGACACTCCATCCATTTTGCTCATTTGCTGTTTGAACCTAACGACTGCAGAGCACACTCTGGGAGCTGACCTTGCTGTCTTTTCTCATTCAGACATGTGGGATGCTTCTATAACTCATCCATGCTAAGCCATTTCAGATGCTGGTTTTCTTTTCTTTTCTTTTTTTTTTTTTAATTTACAGATCTTGTTTATTTATTTGACAGAGATCACAAGTAGGCAGGGAGAGAGAGGAGGAAGCAGGTTCCCCGCCAAGCAGACAGCCTGATGCGGGGCTCGATCCCAGGACCCTAGGATCATGACCTGACCTGAAGGCAGAGATTTTAACCCACTGAGCTACCCAGGTGCCCCGAGATGCTGGTTTTCAAACCTAGGTGTGGTGATTTCAGTTGTGGACCTCCAGAATTCATAAATTGAAGTCCTAACTCCCTAGTATCCCAGAATCTGACCTGATTTGGAAATAGGGTATATCACATAACTAATGTAATTAGTTAAGATGAGGTCATTAGGGTGGGCTCTAATTCAGGGTGACACAGGTGTCCTTATAAAAAAGGGGATTTGGGCAGGGGAAGAATGCCAGGTCAAGATGAAGGCAGGGTGGGCAGTGCTTCTAGGAACCAAGGAACACCGAAGATTCCCAGCCACCACCAGAAGGACAGGTGGGGGGCAGATTCTTCCGTACATCCCTCAGAAGGGGCCAACCCTGCTGACTCCTTAATCTTGGATTTGTAGCTTCCAGAGCTGTGAAGCAGTACGTTTCTGTCGTGTAAGCCAGGAGTTTATGTTACACTCTGTCAAAGCAGTCCTAGCAAACTCATCAACAGGCCCTCCATAAACCCAGCCGGGCTTGACGCCGTCTTCCCCATTAGCTGAAAGACTGCAGAAGGGCTCACCTGCATCCTGGTTATATAGACGGGTTTGTTCATTATTATCCAACTTGCCGTCTCATAGCAGGGTGGGATAGTCATTGACCCGTCATACGTAATGAAACTAGAGGTCTCTGGATATAGTTCCTCTATATTAAGTCCCTGTAGTAAATATGCATCATCTAGAGAAGGAAATCAGAAAGACGTTAAGAGTTAGGTTTCTTGAGAACAAGCTGGGATGGCTGATCGTTTCTTTTTCTTTTCAGATTTCAGAAGACCGTATCTGCCAGGATAGGCGACAAAAACGAGCAGCCCTCCTCCCCCGATCACAGTTATTTTCAACAACAGAAGCTTATCTCTTGCTCACATACACTTTCACCCTAAGTTGAAATAGAGGGAGCTTCCTCCATTGTCACTGCTGTCCACAATCTGGGACTCAGGCCCTGGGAGCAGCTGCCATCTAGACCCTTATGAGTAGCAATGATAGAAAGCAACTAAGATGAAGCGTATGTTGGCTCTTAGCTCTCCCATCCCAGAAGGGGCACCTGTCACTTCTGCTCACGTTTTGGTAGCCAAAGAGGTAACACGGCCAAGGCTGACATCAGGGATTCAAGGAGGAACATTTCTCCAGCAGGATGGGGCACCGAATATTGGTGAGGCCACAAGAATGACCCAAGTCCTTGCTTGTGGTCCCTGAGACCGAGAACCATAGCATTACGGTCATAATGAAATACACAGTTAAAGACTTCAGGGCCAACTGAAACATTGCCTGGTCGCCATTCTCATTTACTCCCTTTGCTTAATTAAAAGAACATTAAGAAAACACTTTCAGGAAAAAAAAAAGCAAATCAGGCCAAATCTATCATGAGATTCAACAGTTAAGTCCAATAACTTTCAATTTTTGTCAGTCTCTTCCCTATCGCACCCATGCACATAGCCTTTTCCCTTTTTATGCCTATTTGAGGTAGTCCCATTCATATGTATTTTACTATTAAGTATGCTTTTTCAATTACAAAACTGACATAAGTACATATCGGATTATATGGAGAAAAGAGAGATAACAAGAAGATAATCAATACCTCAGTCATCTGAAGCAGTGGCCACGAGCATTTTGATTTATTTCATTCTGATTTTTAAACTCAGTGCATGGGTTATACCTTTGTGAACGCTGTAACATACTGAAGTTTTCAAACACCCACAAATTCCAGTGAATGTCTCTCACCCTCCTCCTCTCTGTAGGATCCCTCTCCTTCTCTCTGCACACCCTTCCTCTCTTCTCCTGGCTTCTAAAATGCCATGCCTGGTATTCCTAATTTTCTGGCCATTCTTTCTCAGGTTCTGTTGCTGGCTCCTGATTCTCCACCTGCTTCTCTCAGTGGAGACAAGCAAGGGACAAGTCCAAGGCTTTTTTTTTCCTTCCTCACTCTTCAGTGAGCAGCCCATCTACCTCCATGGCTTCTGTTGCCCTCTGTATCCCAGTAATTCCAGATCATGAGTGTCCACCGCTGTGGCTGGTCTGGGAGGCCAGGGGAACCCAATGACTGGCAGGTGGAGGGAAGAGCCTATCTCCTCCAGTCCTCTTGGATTCTCTCATCCATGTCTCCAACTCCCAATGGAAAAGGACTAACTTCTTCAGTGGTTGACATAACCTCTCAGGTTTAGGACTGTGCACGTATGAGGGTACAATAAGGGACTTTCACATACAGCTAGAACCTCACAATGACCTCTAAGACTGGTCAGGCAGATAATAACATCTCCATTGACAAGATCAGAGAGGCACAGTAACCTCCCTAATGTCTCAGAGCTGGCTGGGGACTACAGAGCAGAAACCGGAATTCAGCTCTCCTGACTTCCAGACCAAAGTCACTCATTCACTCAACACGTGTTGGATAAGCACCAGCTGGTGTTGGGCATGGGGTTAGGGAGGGTCTGGGAAGAGAGCAGTGAACAAGGTAGATGCGGTGCCCACCCTCACTCTAGTGAGACACACAAAACCAGCCACATAAATGAATGTGGCCTCTCCTATCAGGTGGTGATGAGTACGCCTCGGCCAGGCCTGTTCCTCCCTTCGGATCCTGAGCATCAGGGAGGCTCACCCATTTTCCTGGGCAAAAGTCTCCTTCCTTTCCCATCACTTCCTCCAGAAATTGGTCACTCAATTTTCTCCGATAAAAAAGAGTCATCTCTGCCAAGGGTACTTGAATTTCAGGGCTCCTTCCCTCATCAACAGAATTAAGAACCAATCAACTGATTCAGTGGTTTGGAATGATGTAAATAAGACCACTGTCTGCCTGCTTCCCCCCACAACTGCTCCTCCTGGCCTCTGACAACCCCGGTGGGGGGGGGCCCTAACGTCTCCAGAGCTATGTCCACAGCATGACCATGAGACGGACAGAGTGGTCCGGCTGGATCTGGAGGCTAACCCTAGGAGAAAAGACTTTCACTTTGCATTGAAATGTGTCCACCCTCCCATCTGAACACCATGGACTCCGGACAAGCCCAGAAGAGACACGGTGACGAGACAATGGCTGCCCTGAGGGTCTGGACTCTGGCCTGTGGGGGCAGATGCTTTCCTACAAGGCCACAACGTCCAGAGCACGCACTGATGGGACGCTCCTAGGGAGTCCCATCCGGGCGTCAACACAATCCGTTTCCGTTGAAGCGCCATCCCGTAGCTCTGTTTCTTAAGCCCCTAATACGCATCAAGCACTGAGCTACAGAGTGAGTGAGCACGATGTCGTTAAGTGAGTGCAGCAAGGAACCACAGCGATGGCGACATAGATCTGTGCTGGGAACAGGGAGAGGTGGTCACTTCTGCCTGGGGGTGGGGACTCTGGAGAGTATTCATCGAGGAGCTGGTCTGAGCTGCATTTTGAACGACAGGAGGTCATCAGTGTGTAGCTGGCAGCAGGGTGGCTGTCAAGGGCACTGTAGACATTCCTGCTAGGGAAAGAACTGAGGATGGAGGGAGAGAGGCACACTGGCTGAGGGTCGGGAGTGCCGGGAACTGCAGGGGTCGGGGGGGGGGGGGGGGGGGTGTTGTGCAAAATGAGGCCAGGGAGGGCACAGGCCACACCGGGGACATCCTACTCTGTGCTGCTGGGCGTTGGGGCTTCCTCCCGCAGGCAATGCAGAGCCACTGAAGGGTTTAGACCAGGGGAGCACGATCAGATCTGCACTTAATGGTGCCTGTCCTGGTCGGCGGTTTGGCCCAAAGAGGAACATACGGGAGGAGAGAAGGAAGCATTCCGCTCATCGTTACGAAAGGTCAATGTGATTTGTTTAACCAAGCTTGCACGCAGAGCATATTGGGTACTCTGGTGTGCGGCAATTACTGTATTTTATTTTATTTGGGGCGGTGGGGAGGAGGGAAGGAAGGAGGTGGTGGAACGAGGGGCTTTCCCGGTGTGGCTGGGATAAAGGAAAATAACATTTATGTTTCTCTGGAACCAGAAGCAGCCTCTGCACTGCATCTAGGCTCAAGGCAAGTGTTGGGGTGTATTTGTGTGTATGTGTGTTGGGGGGCAGGCGAGGAGCAAGACGTTATGTTCCGGGATGTAACCCACACAGCAGGGTGACAGCGTGCTTCCAAAACACTGTTGCGTCCATGTCCCCGACTCCATCTGCTGGTTTCCTGCCAGGAGGTTCCTCTTCACCCATGTCCCCTGAGAGATGCAACACTCCGTTCAAGAACTCGGGCAGCTTGAGGGCCGTCTTAGCCTCCCACGATCCTTATTTGCCACTTGGTTCTTTCCATGAATCTTGCAGATTTCCACTTCACCATTTGCTCTTCTTCTTCTTCTTCTTCTTCTTCTCCTCCTCCTCCTCCTCCTCCTTCTTCTTCTTCTCCTTCTCCTTCTTCTCCTTCTTTTCTTTCTTCCTTCCTTCCTTCCTTCCTTCCTTCCTTCCTTCCTTCCTTCTCCTTCTCCTTCTTCTTCTTTTAAAAGATTTTATTTTTAAGTCATCTCTACACCCAACATGGGGCTCGAACTCACAACCCCCAGATCAAGAATTACGTGCTCCACGGACTGAGCCAGCCAAGTGCCCCACCTTTCTGTCTTTTTTATTTCCTCACGCTCCAGAACTTAGAAAGACCCAGTGTGAAAAGTGTGAGCACTGGACTCAGACCTGAGTTCGAATGCTGATGGGGCTGCTCCCCTTCCATGTGACCTTGGATGTGCAGGTAACCGTGTGAGCCTCAGTTTCCACATCTGTAGTATGCAGGTGGTTGGGTAGTCATAGAACTGAATGCATGTGTCCCCCTAAAATTCATATTTTGAAGTCCTAACCCCTGATGTGATAGTATTAGGAGGAAGGGCTCTGGGGAGATCATTAGATCGAGAGGATGGAGCCCTCTCAGACGGGATTAGTGCCCTTGTAAAAGGGACCACAGAGAGCATTCTCACCCCTTCGTCCTTGCGAAGAGGCAAGAAGATTTCCGCGACCCAGCAGAGGGCCCTTGCCAGACCCCGGCCGCGCCGGCACCCTGATCTCAGAATTTCAGCCTCTAGAATGGTCAGAAGTAACTTTCTGTAGCTTGTACGGCACCCATCAGTGGTAGTTTAGGAATGCAGCCTGAAGGAACTGAGACAGAGTCCTTGCCTCTGAGCTGTTTGAAGAACAAATAAGACCACAGTTTTCCAGTGCAGATGGTCCCCAACTTAGGATGGTTCCATTTACGATTTTTCAACTTTATATTGGTGTGAAAGCCATCCTCCTTCAGTAGAAATCATACTCCACATTGTGAATTTGGACCTTTTCCCAGGCCAGCTGTCCTCTAGGACCCCTAGGATGTCGGGCAGCCAGCTGAGGCTCCCTGTCAGCCCCCGGAGTGTGGGGGGTCAACGGCCTGGAACCTCCCGCCGTTCTGTACGCACACACAACCATCTACATTCAGTTTCCCACTTTCAGCGCAGTATTCAATAAATTGCATGAGATAACCAATGCTTTATTATAAAATAGCTTGCGTGTTAGATGATTTGCCCCACTGCAGGTGAGCATAAGGGTTCCGCGAACACGCGTGAGGTCAGCCAGGCTGAGCTGTGATGTTTGCCACTAGGATGTTTTCAACTTACAATGGGTTTATCGAACAGAACCCTACGGTAAGTCAAGGAAGATCTGCACCTGGCACAGGATCTGGCATACGGCACTGGGCAGCACTGATGTCACAACCCCCCCTTCC